ACCAAAACGGAAAAAAACCTGTTTCTACCACCGCCCTTCAGGCCCGGGGGATACCCGGACGGGGGGCCTCTTACCCACGGGGGGTCCCAGCAGGCCCCCCCCCCCCCCCCCCCCCCCCCCCCCCCAAAGCAAATGACATGAGCGCTTATTAGGGGTAGAAAATTCAGTATAGATTGTACGGGAGTCCAAGAGGTCCTACAACCCGATGGCTCTTGTGGTGTTGTTACAAACATCAAACTCACCTTCACAGTGAATTGCTCGAACAGTGATATGCAGATATCGTCCGGGGCGCGATGAAAAATACATCATCGAATCATCGATGCTCAAAGGACAGTAGGCTCGGGGGACGTAGAGAAGTCGGCGATTTGCTGGCAAGACCTGCTTGCGCCGCCAATTGCGATATGTTAGAAGACGGTCTCAAGTGGACAAAAGATATAGGATAGCTTCACTGACCTGCAGCTGTAGTAACATTCAAAGTAGTTGGGTTTTGTACATAGTGCTTGGGCTTGGACAGAAAACGCAGGCTTAGAAGTCAAATATACCATCCTTCTGTCCAACAGGGAGAAGACAATCACTCCTGGTAGCATGCAGCTCCGTGTATGTCCGAATGATTTGTTCCCGCTCGCTAGTACAAGTCGACAAGCTCAGCAACGCGGAGAGGAGAGAGGGATCAGGGGGGACTATATCAGACGGTGGTTCTTGGGTCATGGGCCCTCTCTTTGGTTTGGCCGTCCTCGGTCTTGTCCACTCGGCTCGAAGCTGAGATGGTCATGTAAATTATCCGGCTAGAAATGACGGGACTTTCGCCCACCATCTCCTTGTACGCAGATTTGGACTAACAACCTGGCCGTCTGCGAAAGTACGGCTCACCGGCCATCTAGCAAGACGAAACATCAGCTCATCCCGGTTTCTGTCGAATTGCCAGGCTTGAAAAGACGCCAGATGCCAACCGAGAACAATGAGGATCACTCATTGAACGCCAAAAACCCAAGCCACAAGGAGGCTATCCTTTCACGGTGTTCGAATGGCGAGAGATAGACAAGGGTATGCGCATCTCAGAATTGGGTCTTGTATCAGATAGACACATCAGCATGTGACCTGACGCACAGAGTCGACTGAGAGAGAAGGGCCGAGGTAGACGATCTAAGCTTTACATTGACTCATCATCGATGCCACCAGTAGTCCTGTGGAAGTGATAGACAGCATGCGATCGTATCGTTATAGGGGAGATCGAGCAGACAAGACATTTGCTCGCTTCGCATTCTACTCGAGTGTCGGGAACATGAGGGTCCTCCTTTTGTGTGATCCGAGTCAGCAAGGCTTGAACTACTTGGACAAGTTGTTATGACTTACCTGTTCATAGAGTTTGCAGCATGTTCGCTTGAGACAAGACGATCAATGAGCTTCATGGTCATGTGAGCTTCCCAATGGGATAACTCACAATCCTCTTCGGCAAGGCAATGCAGCACCATTCATGCCATGTTGTATTTTGGTCCGTCGCACTCTCCACCCGTTGCTTTTAAAAGGCCGGGTTGTGGGGCAACGCGCATTCTCTCGGGCGGCATAGGCCGTGACAACCTCACACAGGCACAAGCAATCGTGGAGTCTTGGTGGATGGTATAAGCGCAATGCCGACGGCCAGAGATTCCGCCATTCATAGAGTGAAGGCGGTGAGGGCGAAGACGCGATGGAGCACGCGTCGTACTGCTGCCCCTTGGTCTTATCTCCGATCCGTCGATAAGGACTACCCACAAGGAGATTTCACGGGTGGCGATGGGCTGCTCCTATGTACAATGGCATCAAAATCAGTGATGGTGTTCGTGTTTTGGAGCACAAAAATTTGCATAAATATATGATATAGTGCAGGAGAGGACGCGATAATCACTCACATCATCAGAAAGAATGGACATCTCAAGCTTCCATGCAGCGAGCCTCGCAATCGAATGTGCGTACCTGATATTGGCCCGTTCCTCTGGTTTGTTGTTCATCTGGGGTATGTTGCGTGGTTTAAACCGTCGGGTCTAAGGATTGTGTCTAGGCCATGGCTTTTTTATTTGGCACCAACGGGATGCTGTAGCGTCGGGGGCATCTGGTGCGATGTCAATGTTCCACTGTCATTCATTAGCCTGTCGATCGGCGGAAAAATCTATGACTCACATGTTCTGGTGGCCAACACTGGGGACGAAGGGACGGCAAAGAGTTGCGGTCCTTGCGCTCGTGCATTGTGGTCGAATGTCGGTTCTATTGGAATCGCATCGTCTTCGGGATCAGTAGAATCCCAGACAGGTCAGGCTAAGGTTCACATACCTGCGACGGGGATATTCGCGCTTTTGCTTTGGGAGCACACACAGTGGCTGTACAGTAGATCAGCTAGTCGGTTGCTTTGGCGGAGACCTCGTCGCACAGACACTTGGACCAGCCAGCCTGAGGCTCGTCCCTTTGATCGGCTGGCTGGTTGGTACAGTGGATGGAGAACAACGTTTTCCACAGGCACTTTCTGGCTTGCTGGTCCACGATGTATTCTATAAATGTCAGCACAGTGGAGATTTCAGTACCGGGTCAAGGGGGACAACTTATCAAGTGACTCAGACACAAGCCCTGCTCGACTTTGCAGAGTCGGGTTGATGAATTTTAGAGCAAACTGCCGGGGTTAGAGGACGTATTTATAGGCTTCTCGGGTCATCCTTTCGCCTACGTGCTACGTGCGCTGCTTGGTAGAACGCGTTGGCGGACACCTCTAAATTGTGGCTTGTTGAAACCCACATCTTCTTTCTACCGCAACTATGTGCAGCGACATTTTTAATGCTTTAGATGCTCAGCGAGTGAGACAATTAAAAGTGGTGTTGGGAAAAGAATGTTGAGTCGGTCAAGAAACGTTGGCTCATCGCCGAATTCTTCGCGTCTCGCTAAAATTGAGGCACTGAGTGTTATGCAATCCGCAATGACAGGCTCATATTTCCTGTTCTGATACCTCACCTGTGAGTGACTCAACGTTGAATCACCGAACAGCGCCTACAATTTCTTACTCGAAATCATGGACTTTTTTCCTAGCCTCGCTTTAGTGTGGTGTTGGTTGTGTTGAGCTGTGGGTCTGTCCGACCAGACTGCGGAAAGCGAGGTCACAGTAGAATGTGCTCGGCCCGTCAACTCGTTGAAGCTTAGCCCAACGTTGTCAACACTCAAATTTCGAACTTGTGGCCATGAAAATACATTAAATGAAAATTTTTAGTTTTTTCCCGGAATGTCTTTGTTTAATGATCACAATTCCTACAATATTCGATTTGTCGGATTTCTGAGGCGTTCAACGAAAGAGAAAGAGGTTTCTGATTGAAATATATATCCGCAAAAGCGTTCATCTCTGGCCCTCAACACCGTGAGGCTTGATCAGTTTCCCCGACCGACTATCCCTATTGTTCAATACACTGTCGACAGCCCGCCGAAAACTAACAAAACTTTTATCAAAATTTGACTGCATCAATTAACAGTTGTGGTAATCGTAAAATCCACTACATAGTCGCCTGCGTCTGCGCAGTCTATAAGAGACACTAAGGATCGATGAAAATTGTATTAACCAGACCCGTGACTTTTTCCTGCGGAAAAAATGGATGCCCCGAACAGCTCGCCACACCAGGAAAAAGAACGAGATGAGCAGTCCAGGGAATTGCCCATTCTTGATGAGAAAGACAAATCACAGGAAAGTTCTGACCAAGTCCCATTGGTAAGTGAAATGATTCGGCTTCAAACGCTTTTGCTGACCGTTGCAGCCCTCACCCTCGAAGCAGGAAGCAGCCACAAGACACACCCTGGCGACCGAGCCCTTTCAACCTATTCTGAAGGTGCTAGCAGACCTCGAGCGTGACGATCCCAAGTTCGCCTTTCCAGCAGCTCGACTTGTTGGACTCTATCGACGCCTATGGGAGTCATGCGTGTCCAAGCACATCGATGGCCAGAAGCTAGAACAGAGCAATCGCATCTTGAAGGAGGCTGGCACACACCTGAGAAAAGAGAGTGACGGTCTTCAGCTTCACCACGACAAGCAGCTATCTCGGCTGCGCTTTTTCGAGCAGGCACTGGAATCATGCCGGGAGATCGTATCTAGTAACTGTCCGTATACCAGACAGAGATTCCACGTGGCCGTCTCAACCTGGGGTAGGAAGAACAAATGCTCTCCTGTACTCTAGCCAGATTTTCGGTTGAATCGGACTAGTCTTAACTCTATCAATTGCAATTATTTAAGGAAAGCGAGCGCTAGCATGTGGAGGAAAATGCCGCTGAGTAGAGATGGACAGGGGATCCGAACCGGTCCACTTGAAGCTGGGCAGATTTTCGTGATTGGAGTGGGAAAATCATTCGATCAAGGACAATCCTTGAGTCTCATATCCTGCGGCCTCGCCTTTGTTTGAGAAAACCTGCCGAGGATCATCGGGTCGGTGTCGGCATACCAGAGGACTCTTGCCAGATAGCGTGAAGGTCAAGATCCAAATCGTATTCTACACTAATGTGAGCACAAACTAGTAATTTAGGCAAAGAGTACAGACCCCTTCAATTCACGCAGTCCATTTGCATCCAAGACTGACAATTAGGTGCTGTTCCATGGTCGTTCGGCATTCGGCCTTGGTCGGAGTCCGAGGGCTTCATATCCATCATTCTCTTTCCTCGACATTCCGCCTTCGCTGCTAGACGAGTTCTTATTAAGCCTGAACATCCGGGTCTGCCTTTTCTTCTAGTTTTATTCCCAAGTACACTTTCACGCATTTAACCGTTCCATACACAACTCACATCACCAAGAATGCTCACTCTCAACATCGCCTATACCGAGCTAGTCAACAGCTCTGATCACTTGATCCCAACCCTGTCTCGAGGAAAAGTCTGGAACGGCCTAAAGTCGAAGGCCCGACGCCCTCAAGACTTCATCCCCTCCTTCGATGACTCGGGAGTCATCGAAGAGCGAGATAATGGTTCCTACATCGTGAGGGAGGCACATGTTGGGGCTAATCTCAGCGAATCTCCTATGGCTGGAAAATGGACCAGGGAGGAATGCAGATTGCATGAGCCGGTCAAGGCGAGAGAGCCGGAACATAAAAACACCCCGGAATGTCTTAAAAGCTTCGAATTAGTCATCAAATGGTCTAACTAATCAGAGAGTAGGCTTACTTCACACTACCTGGAGGGTCGATAATTCAGAATATCCTTTCCGAAGGACCTGATCAAGCTCTGTATCTCACGTTTACGTATGAATGGAAGTTACCTGATATCGAGCCTGGGACAAAAGAGGCAAAAAGGGCATGGCATGACCACATGAAAATTGCGATATCCTCGGTTCAAGGAACAATCAAAGCCTTGAGAACTATGACAGAAGTGAAGAAAGTGTGAATTATGGAATATAGGTATGAGAAACGAAGAGGTCAAAGAATACAAATTTTGTAGGGGTGCACACGAATAATCGCTTTATGAATACCCTAAACTTTTATGAATAATGACAATTCTAAGAAAATACAGTACGCGCTAGTACGAAAGGAAAATTGGTAGGTTCCGTGTTATATATTGAGTGTGTTCTGTTAAGCTATCTAATGCAGCAAATATTTAACGTATTCGGTAAGCGAGCGGCGCATGTAAGCCCCACAGTCTCGAAAACATAATTTCGGCGTCTGTTGAAGCATTCCAACCCTCATTGAAGAGACGATGACTGTGGCGAAAATCTATGTTCGTCGCAATAGAGTAGCAGTGATCTGGAATGAGACATACCACAATACGTGATCATTTCAGATTTACAAGTGTTAGATGTTAATGCACCTAGATATGCTGTTCGCAGTTTCATGTTTCAGGTCGTGTAAATCTTCAATCGACAAACATTGATAACCTGACTCTTGGAATGAACATATTAATTCTGGAAACGCCAAAATCCATCCAAGGAGCTGTTTATTCCCTGGGAACTCCTCTTTAGCCCCTGGGGTCATTTCCTGTCTCTAGGAAACCGACCTCTACCCCTGGGATCTTCACTCTACGATCCTGACTGAATACGAAACTGGTTTTGGGATCGCATTGGCTGGACCTGAGAGCTGTTGCACTCCTGGAACCCTACTTCTGGATCCTAGAGTTATTCTGCCTTCTGAGGTCGCGGAAAACCCTCACAAGACACCTTCATCAGACCTGCGCACAAATCTGCGTCATTCGATTACTCCCGAAAACACAAGCCATAGCCCCAGGAACCGTACTTGAGGTTCCAGGAGTTGATGAAAATGCCAACAGGAACATCACTTTGGTTCCTCGAGGTGGGGGCACAAGACCCCAGAAGCTCCAATGGGCTTCCTGGTGGCTACGTGGCTCCCAGAAGCTGCTTCTTTGCCCCCAGAAACCGCACCAAAGCCCCTGAGAGCAAGTGAGCTCCTAGGGTCAAGATGCGCATTCCCAGGGCTGATAGAGCTGTCAACAGGGGCGTGACTGATTTTATGAGGGTGGGAATGGAGAGTCTACAAGTTACGTACGATTTCCTGGGGCTATGTGACCCCTGGAAGCTCACATCATTTTCGGGTCAGCTTTTGAAATCATGACGGCCACCAAGGTTGATGGATGTTTACGCAGAGCAGGTCGTCAAACATCACCTGCTTGCTACATCAAGCCACTTAGCATACTGCTCCATGATTGGCCACGATTGGTTGGCTAGTCAGATCAAGCGATGGACATGCTTTGGATTCAATCAAGAAGTTCAATTGGTAAATTATCTCACCAACTCTGCAGTTGAGTCCATTCCTTTACCGTTTTCATCGCACCTCTCTAATGGTTTTGGACTCCACTTCCCTCATTGTTCGAAATAATCATCAAATCCTGCGACTGCCTTTTTTTTTTCGTAAATCCGGTTGACTCGTTCCTCACTCCTACTTTAGGGGGTCGATGGAACCCCTCTTTGCCTGTTTTATAGGTCCGTGTGCGCACTCTGCTAGTGTCCGCGTAAGGCGCGTACGGCAAAAGGCACGAGAGACATAATGACCGCTAAAACTCCGAAGGCAGCCTGACCAACGGCCTCATAATACATAGTCTTGTAGTATGAAAAGTAGCCCTCACTGTCAAATAACTCAAATGATGTCTGAAAACCGTGGACCTTGCTGGCAAAATAACCCCCCGAGGATAGAACGATCAAGCCGACCACGAGTTGAGTGCAGACGTAGTAAAGTCGATACTTGCGGTCTTCTCGCAGGCATCTTGGGTGGATTGCAAGGGCGATCCCGAAGATGGAAAGCAGGGAATTGAATGACGGTAACTGGACGTACCCACTTCGGGTGGGACCTTACAGATATCTGTGTGATCATGGTCGAACTATCTGTCTTGTTCGCTGCTGCGAGCATTCAATCTGCAGGATCGCATCGATTCCAATTCCCTTTTGAGGCTCTTGACTTCTGTTCCGAGGGCGTCAATATGATCTTTGTCCTTCATACTTTGAGGGGAATTTCCTCCGTTGCGACGGCTTTGTCGTTCGTCTGGCTTAACTTTTCCGCGAAGTGACCTATTGTTTGTACGTATCAGTCCTACCGCCAACAAGCTGTCGCGTTTGAAGTGAGCCTTCATGGTTGCTAATTAACACACCTTTTTCGCCTGCTCGGCCTGCGTAATAAATTAGCGAGAGGACAGGGGTGCTGATGTTGGAGGGCAACGAAGAAAGAAACTGACCAGCTAGCTATGGACTTTTCCGCCGCGCGCGCGCCGGATGGCACGAATTCCTCCAACGGCACTCCTGAAGCTGGCTTGAATCGCACTCTTTTGAGTGGTCTATCCTCAGGCCTATCTCGGCGCGGCGAAGTACGCTCGCGGCTCTTGAGTATCGAGCGACGTATCTTCTGAGGCGACACTGTGGGCTCCACAGAGACTCTGGCTCTGTCGGAAGCCTCAATTGATGTTTTGAAGTCCGCAAGCAGGGTGTGCATGCGGCTCTCATTAGACGGCTTGTCCGATAGTGTCATTTGGAAGAGGTTGAAAAAGGAAAACGATTGGCAAGAGCGATATCGTTGAGTCAAGTTCGCAAGAAGCAGGAGATGGAGTAGGATTGGCTCAAGTTTGCGAGTAAAACCTAGGCTGTATGCACAATAGGAAATTGAAATTGAAGCTCGCTAGCTTGCCATTGGGAAGCTAGTAAATAGCGAGAGAAGAAGCTAGGTGTGGGAAGTGCCGAAAGCTCAAGTCGGTCACGAATATATGGAGCCTCCGACTGGCGTTACGGTGACATCGTGCTCTAGTTTTGGTCTGCAGCTATACCCACCATCAACACTCACCATCAACACTCACCATCAACACTCATCCCGTAAACTATTTTTTTTAATACCTGCTACTGTATGGCCAACAACCGGTATAATCGAATGTCACTGTCTGTCTGTCTCCAACCCATTGTTGCGGCATCTGTTCAAGCACTTCAATACTCATGAAAGATACGGTGACCGTGACTAGTGACCGTGATTAAAACTGGCAGGGGGGTCTGCCACCGCGTTGAGCGATTTAAGTGAAAATTCAATGATATGTAGGAATCGGAATTTTGCGGCGTTACTTT